GTCACTTTACTTCCTGACATTGTTATTTTAGCTTGTTGTAGCATTAGCATGTTTGGTCTCGTAGTGTCTCTTTACATTATATTCCTTAAACAAGGCAACAGTCTCATGACTAATTAGGCAGACACAGTTGTTTCGGTGTTCGGTGAAAAAAATATTGCGATCTCCACCTCTCCTGGAAGCGGCGGCCCTCGTTATCGACTTTCCTTTTTTTTACCTGCCGTAGCCATGACAGGTCAAGGGTCAGAGCCAATTTCAAACAGCCAGACAGTTACAGAGTGGTGCTGCCACCATGAGGTAAAAAGAGGAATTGCATGTTGAATTTGTATGATTTATTCATTCCGTTTTGACTGTGCTGGCGGGCCATAAATAACGCATTTTAAGACAGAAGATGCGGGCCATATAAAATCTGCCCGCGGGCCGGACTTTGGACATGCCTGCATTATAGGCTCTGGTTTTCAGTCCTTTTTAAAATAAACAATGCGCATCGTGGCTTTAGCCTCATCGATTCTGCTGGTTTGCCTCCCTGGTGGCGGTGTTTGTGGAGTAAAAAGTAGCAAGGGGCGGGGATGAGGTGGAGCCAAAGTTATTCTGCAGCCCTGTTCCTTCACGCTCTGCTGCTCTCCAGACGAGCTCAAATGAGTTTAGCCTGGCACAATGACTGACACATCCGCAGTGTGGCAGAGAACAGCAGTGACTGGCAGCCCCGTATAACCGGGATGGCACTGAAACTGAGAGTGTGGGACTTGACAGTCGGGGAGATATTGTCCTCTCCCGTTATTGGCGGAGCAGCAGGGAGTGCTGGAGCTGCACCTCGGCTCAGCTGCTTGATTGTTGTTGTGCATCTGTGAGCAGCTGTGTTGCTGTGGAAGGAGACCGCTTTCAACCAGCTGCCTCCGGCTGCAACTAACGCATATCTTCATTTGCAATTATTCCAGCTGCAACCAACCTTTTCGCCTGGAAGGCCTTAAACCAAAGCTATGGATACGTTTGTCAACGGTAGGGAGATTAAACTTCCATTAAAGACAACAAGCAAATACTAGAAAGCACAGAAGTACATATTTATTTGATTTCCGTTCAGATTTGTGTTGCAACCAGGCGGCAACCTCCGGTTCTTCCGAGTGAAGCTGATGCGGAAGTGTTTTAAAACTTGCATTATCTCTACTGACCAGCAGGGGGTGGCCCTGTCAGATTGTATAGAAGTCTATGAGGACATGACCCTACTTGTCACTTGAATTATTACCTCAGTAAACATGAGTTTATGGTCTCAATCGCTAGTTTCAAGTCTTCTTCAATACAGCATAATGTTCATTTAGTACATTATGGTCCAGTTTAGAGTCAAATAGACCATAAAGCAGAGTATGCTTTAATTCATATGTAATTATTTCGATTATAAATATTTATTCAGATGATGTAAAACAGAGAAAAGGCACCCATTCTCACATTGGAGAGCCTAGAACCAGAGAATGTTTGGGATTTCTTGCTTAATTAAATGACTTAAAAAGATGCGTTGATTTTCAAAGTCTTTGGAGATGTATTTTCTGTAGACAGACCAATTTTTTTAAAAGTCCTTCTAAGAGAAAGATAAATGGATGTGGGATAAAAACTTTATAACAAGGCTGATAGTTACAAGCCCCCCTTTCTATTATCTGAACCACCAAAGGCTTTTACTTAGGAAAACAACTCTCCCACTCACACACACACACATGATAAGCATCCCTCACTGATGTGGAAAACTCATTGCTTGGCACATCAGTCATTGCGTATCAGTGTCACTAATCTACTTCCAACTTCCAACGCACATGTGTGGGAGACTGCAATCGGCTGTGTGTTGACAATGAGCGGATGGGAGGGTGGGGGGGGGGGGGGATAAAATGATTATGGTTGGGTTTCTACTGGGTTCCAGCGGGTGATTGGGAGGATGCAAGGTAATTAAAAGCTAAATGAAAACATCTATTACCTGTGTGCATGTAAGTAGGGAGGATACACTGATTACATTTTCCCCACCACCGGCTGCGCTTCACTGGAGTATGGATGAAGGAGAAAAGGGTAGAAACAGTCGAGGAGGGAATATCCGAAATAGGCAAGGACACATGAATTACGTTAAATATTTGGACGGTGGGATCACAGAGGACTCCTGTGGGACTGGCTTTGGCTGGAACTGCTTCACAGTTTCCTTTAATGTCTTCTCGCATGCCAACTTCTCCTTTGTCTTTGCTGCTCCTCTCTCTGATTATGTTCCCTCTCCCCCACTCTTTCTCCCCCTCTTTCACTAAACTCTATAGTAGTGGGGGCGGTGTTGCTTATGTAAGAGCCGAAGCAGCTTCTACTAAGAAGCTTTCTAATGCCCTTGGAAGGCATTTGCCCGTGGTGGGTAAAGTCCAGGAGAAACCCTTTTTTTTTATAATTTATTGAATGTTAGACTATTAGACTTTGGGATTATGCCCAAGATGCCGAGGAAGAAAGGGCGATGACGTCAGGCGGGAAAAAAGGCGGAGAAACCCCACTAACGGAGAGACTCAGGCAAAAAAACAGCCACAGTAAAAATAGATGCGGTGCCAATATAAATATATCTTAAGCTTTCTACTGCAGGCATTTTGTATCAAGAACATGTAGTAAATCTCTAAGAATGTTTGATGAATACAGCTTTATAGTGCGCAAGGAAATTGCAGAGTTAAGCAGCAAATCCATGGCCAAAAAGAACATTTCTGCAATGATATGAAATACATATAAAACTGAGTTTCAAAAAACAGGCACAGACAGATTGCAGGAAGGGAGGTTAAGCAGGGATCTGAGACTTTAATGTTAGACCTCTTAACGCTATGTTTTACTTTGCTTATTTCAATAGTCTGCCTGCTTTTGATAAGAGGTCAATTTTCACTTGATGAATCTAATGGAGTTGATTGAGGTCGCCAATGATGAGAGCCGAGAGGAAATTTCACATGCATGCCTTCAAAGAAAATCTGTCAAGCTCTGACACACCGGGGTAATTACATTGCGGCGTTTCAGGCACTGCAGCTCAACCACAGCAAGTTAAGGTTAAGAGCCGGTCAAAGACACGAGGTCGCCTACAGCAATGAGATCACATGACTTGAGGTGGCTATAATGAGGCCCCAGCAGACCTTTTTAATAAAACTACTCAGAGAGATGCATTTTTCATGGCAGAAGATGCCTAACTCTACAGCTGGCAATGCCCTTTAAATAAAAGCACATTTTGGTTTTTTTTAGAGGACCTTTAGGACCAGCATTCCAATGGTCTAAGAGTGCTAATACTCATAAGTGAGCTAATAATGTCTAGCATGTATTTTCTTTAACAATGGCTGAAGTTGGGTTTCCCTGAATATGTACCGTCACTCTCGGGGTGTTCTTTGAGAAAATGAACATCAGTGGGCCCAGATTGGCCGACCCCTCCACACCTGATGGCGACATGAAGCATCATGGTAAAGATAAATTTAGGGTGTATAAATCTTTGGATGCCTTTAACTATCCTGCAGAAAATATTGCTATTCCAGCATTGACAGCAGCTGGAAAGGAACCCAAAAAAGTCAGTCAGATATCTCAATATCGGCGAAGCGTTTCAGAGATGGAGAGAAAATGTTGCTAAAGCAAAAGCCTCACGACTGCAGCTAGGGTTAGCAGAAGGCTAAACTACTAGCAACACCTTCTCTCCATCTCTCTAATGGTTTAGCTTTCTGTGTGAGCGGCGAGCTCACTGCTGCGGTGCAGCAGCCGTGATGCTAGTTAGCAGGAGGCTAAGCTAAACTACTAGCAACATTTTCTCTCCATCTGTGAAGCGCTTCGACAGTATTTCAGCTCGCTAGAGCCTCAATTCATAATTTTGTCACCTCAAAAGGTATGCTGGAGCCTTACTCCTACGGTGTCGGCCCCCAACAACACAGCAAGCCCACTACTCTGAGGGGATTCATGTTGGCCTCCAGTCTTTCCATTGTTTTGCCTCAAGCTAACACACCGTGATGTAATCATGACATCGGCACCAAAAAGGTCTATATATGGATGCGTTTTCTGTTCGCTTGAGAGTTAAATGGGAGCAGACACAACTTGGAAGCTCCACAAACCAATAACTACACGGGCAAGGAAAAACTAATCGAAACCCTGTTGAACCAATGCGGGTGTGTTGCGAAATAGCAAACAAAGCATTCACTTTTGCTCTCCAGCAGGTCCACACCGCAGTGATCGAGTATAAATCGGCTTTTTTTTGGATGCAAATTGCAAACATTCGCAAAGCACACTCTTCAAGGAGACTGGGAGAAAGTTCAAGAAAAGACTTAAAATTCAACTGTTCCCATTTTGTCTGCAGCTAAAATTGATCAATCAATTTTTATACTTTGATTGTGCTGTCAGACTTTTCTTAAAATTCATGGGAGCCAGTGTATATTATGAGTAGAGTTGAAGTGTCAACACAGCTTCTATTACATATTCTCATCTCGCTGCTGCCCTACAGCTCAACCATTGTGGAAAATGATTCAGTCACCAAAAAACTGTTAATTGAAAATAGATGTTTTGAAATCACTGAAGAAACTGAACATCCTGGGGCTTACAGGCTTTTTTTTTTTTTGCATCTGGACCGTACACACCTTACACACTCCTGACAGCACATAACCAGTTCCCCTGAATCCATTCATTTCATTAATCCCATTGCCTGCCATATATCATTTGGCTAAAATCCCTTTTTCCAGCCGATGAGTTAACTACAGACCAGAGTGCGACGAAGTGTCTCTTAGTCAATCTGGCCACCGGGTGAAAGAAGGCTGAACTGAGCGAAGACGTCTCGAGGGCCCGAAGTGTGGGTGAAAAACTGTAGGTGTTACTAGAAGCCACTTGAAATAAAGGAGAACTATTCTGCATTTTTGATTACTCATCTCTCGATATACTAACAAGATGATTAAATCTGTTTAACTACAAGAAGTCTCCATGTTTTGGATGAAAACACTTTGTCATGATTTCATGTTTGTTTGTTTTTTAATCCCAGGCCTATCTGTCCATCAAATGTCACAAAAATATGCTCCATATTTTCTGCGATATCCTGCTGACAACGGATAAACTGACAGGGGTGAAAATATAATCATCACGGTGACAGTAATAGGACTGAGTAGCTCTCCCATGGGGTTTTACAAGTACAGTGTAGCTGAAACCTCAGAGGCATTTCAATATTTGATTTTTGATTATCTTTGCTGCGGAGGCAGTTGGCATGTTGATGCGTTTCTGTGGACTGAACGGAGAAAACAACTGTGTCAGGTGGAGAGTGAATGGAGATGATGGCCGAATGCCAAGGAGTGAAAGGAACGGACCGAGGGAAGAATGAGAGACACAAATTGAGCAGAATGGCAGCAGGTAAACCGATGGTAGGTGTTTTGAAATATATATAGGAAAACTCGAAAAATACATAGTTAGACTTGAGATTTCCTCCTCTTAAACACCTTTTGTACCATTTTCTTCAGGTGGTTAATTTTTGCTTCTCGTAAAAAGTATGACTTACCTATAAGATAAAAAGCATATTCACAGAAAAATACATTTTTATTTTCACCAAGCTATTACATTTTTAAGTGGGTGACATATTCTAAGAGCATTGCCAATTTAGCTCTGTCAAAAACGACACGTATTCCCGCATTTTAAAAGTTCAAGCATAATGGACTACATGAATAGTTTTTTTTTAATCGTCTTGAAATGTCATCTCACCCCTCATTTCGATTCCCATCTCGGTGCTCACGTCGGAGTGACAGCCGTTGGACAGAATCTCACAGCCGTGGCTGGAAAAACTTTTATTATAATTGCACCGTGTCTGACTGTGCGCGACGGACCGGGAGTTTGGCAACCGTGGTCCGACCACATTATTTACAGCGGCTGCTTCCAGTAAACCCCGAGATTCATTTGAAGTCCTGCGTGTGGGCGGAGGTGATTCCATTGTAACAAGATGATTTATGAAGAGGTGGAAGATGGGTTAAGATAATGGGAGAGCTGGGATTTCAAAAACCAAATGAGAAAGTGACAGTCAAGCATGTGCACAGCAATAGCTACGAAAGATACGTAAGACCACATATGAAAGACAAATGCATATGCCATGTTGCTCAGGAGCCTTCCAAGCCACAAAATAAACAAAAAAACAAATTTAATGCAATGTATTTACATACACAATAAAATGTGAAAAATCAACCCAAACCTGAATATAAACAAATCAATTAATATTCAAAGAAAGAGAGGCAAACAAATCCGACGTAAACTTGAGAATAATTAGATCTGATGCAAAATATGGTCCAAAAAAAGACTGGTCCAATTAACAAGCAGCCATGGTCGACAGAGCAGTAATTAATTTCACGTTCACACTCTCTGCCTCGCGTCAAAAACCCACTTTTCTCTTAAAATGATTATAATGCAGCATACGTCTCACCATCGTCTCCATTCAAGTGCTGGACCCAAGATAAGTGTCGATACAACAGGACCCTACCTCATTCAATTAAAGTTAATCTGGACCCCTTAGCTGGGGTCCAATTTTGTGTTCTGAGACTGAATAAAGGGGTGATGATGACCAGCTGAGCTCAGGTAAAATCCACTGATCGATGTGTTAATAATAACACTATAAGAATGAAGCCGTATCAGAGCAAGCGTCGCACACACCAGCAGTAATCTGGTCTGCTTACAGACGTGCTGAAACCTTGTCTGACCCTGATCTTTATGCGTGTCTGTTTTGTGTTAAAAAAAAGTTAGCATACACAAATGGTACAAAAAAAAAAGGGGATCACGGCTGATCCCAGCTGCTGTGCGCTGACTGAATGAGGACGCAGCCCTCGGCCCCCCCGGGCTGGATTTTCCGTGCCCTCCTTCCTCCCCTCCATCCATCCCTCTCTCCATCTCCTGCGATCCCTCTCCATCCTCTTAAGGGAGCGTTCTGGATGGAAACTGAGCCAAGTGATGAGGGACCGGGGAGAATTGGGTTTTATCAGCTTGGCATATGTGTGTCAGCGTGTGCCAGCGGATGTGTGTGAGAGACGGGAGTGTGTGTGTGAAAGGGGAGGCGGGAATCGCACATAGATTACAAATCAAAGCGAACGATGAATGTAACTACTAAAAAAATGATCTACAGGACTCGTAACCAACATTTTAACTTGCACGTACTAGTACAAATTATTATCGAGCCCAAGTAATCTGCGGTTTCAGCCAAGGTGCCAACTCTCACTTTGCGTGGGTGGGGATGAGGAGTCGGGGGTGGGGGTTCGGATAGAGGAAGAGGAGGAGGGAGAGTAAGTGAGTCATAGTATAAACTCCCAGGCCCTCTGCATAATCATTTCAGCTCACGCTTCGTCACAGCGAGCTGAATCACCAGACAGACACGTGGCCACAAATACCGGAGCCAAAAACGTCTCCGCCTGGCTCCTCTCGCATTATCTCGCACTTCTCTGCTCACACGCAGACATTTGAGAGATTCAGCAATGGCTGTTTGATCTTCCTGTCTGGTTACCGCGCGTGACCCTTTTGACTTTATGTAGTTGGAGCTATTCGTTGAATGGTAAATGGCTCCTCCCATTCACCAAAGCATTTCGGCCGGATGTTCGTGAAACAGCAGGTTCCCTCCCACTAGCATGGATAAGCTTCACAAAAGATAATTACATGCGTAACATGACAAAGCAAATCCTGATGTACCGATTTTTATCTCCACAGTCGTAGTCCTATTGCTACTGCTAGTGCATCCAGTATGAAAGTAAAAACCGGACTAATACAGTTAACATTTGAATATTTATGGGTTTCTTTATTTAACCGTAAGACGTAAAACACCCCTCATCACACAGGACCCTTCAGTACTCCTTCTCATCTCATTCCAAGTCCTTCAATCAGGCCACCATTATAAGAAGGCTCTGTCTACAGATTAATATATTCAAAAACTGATTCAGTCCGACTGCCATTAGGACCGAGTATTCAAACACATGGACATATTTGCACATTGCTATTTCCTGTACAGCCGGTGCTGTTTGTGTCTTTTACCGTATATATGTGTAATTTGTGTTTTTGCCACAGCAAAGACACATTTCCACTGCTTTGTGGAAAAACTGAATCCAAACTCTGTCAAGGACAAGTGTTCTAAACACTATTGTATTAAGTCTTGTTGCAACACCTTTTTGACTATCTGTGCTCGGAGCTGTTTACGATGAACATTCTTAGCATGAAATGTGAATTAGCCGCGGACACCTTGCTGACTACGGCTTTGCAAAAACAATTCGGGGGTCACTGACGTCCCCTCATCGTAAGGAAATCTCCTCCAATCCTTCTAGGAACAATCTGTGGCAGAAATCTCTCCCTGACTCGAGGGCTCCCCTGCATTTGTTAAACAAACAAACAAACCTCTGATAGCAATCTTTCCGTGTACAGTGATGCTGATTTGCAATGCAAATGATCTTGATCAGTGGACACCACAGGGAGACTGCTGCAGCTCTCCGACAACAACAAAGGGAAGGCCCTCGCATCATGCTGCCTTATCGGCTGCTAGATTTGTGCCAGCCTTCGCTGACGGAAGCCTTATCTTTACTGGCCTTCTGTCCGCTTAAAGGGACCGAGACCTCTGCATGCTGCTTTGGGGCCCCTCCAGGCCGTGTGTCAGCCATGGAGTAGATTCGAAGGCACTTAACAGTCAGTATTGGCAAACTAGAGAAGGAAAGAAAATATCTCGGTGGAAAAAAGGGGGGAATGCAGTCAGTTACCTGAAATTCAATCCCATAGTTCTCCCTGCAGAAGTCTCGTAGTTTGGGGTAGACGTGCTCTTTCAGCGCGTTCCTCTCCGCCTCCGTGTCTGGAGACAAAAGAAATAGGACATGTTTAGCTAACCAGTACCAAAACACAAACTTGTGTATGTGCAAACAGAGCTGGAGCCAGGGGACAAATTAGCTTAGCATAACATAGAGACGAGAAGCAGAGCTTGTCTGGATCTCTCTTAAATATTTATCAACTATTCACCTCTACAATATTAACGTCAGCCTCATATCAATGTTTATGTAGATCATTTTTCAACATGCAACCCGTTTTTACACCCTTAGAAAACTAGGATTACCGAGGAGAGCTGCAGACAGCAGCAGTCCCCGACACACACTGTTGAAGAATGTGTGCGATTATGCAGCATTACAAAGGCAGTGATCATATTGGACAGTCGCAGAGTGAGTGCCCACGGCTCCTTTTTGTGTCCCACTTTCTTTCCTCCCGTCCTCTCTCTTTCACTGTCTTCCAAATGGTTACTGTAATGTATTTGGACAGGCCCAGTCTCTTTCCCCCCCGTCTCTCTTTCTGAAGGGTGTGGACGGATAGTTAAAAACAGAACATGCCCGACAGAGAGAGAGAGAGAGAGAGAGAGAGAGAGAAGAGCCCTATGTGACCAAGAAGCTGCCTCGAGAACGCACGCGCGCACGGGGAAACACACATGGCGGACGCCGCGCAAACAGTCGCTCAGCCGCTAACCGTGTCATACGCAGCGTGAGCAGAAGAGCCCACAAATTTAGTCTGACGAATCTTTCTCTAGTCTATCTTTAGCACGGCTCTAGGCCCTGACCGCACACACATAGCCGCCCACAGCCACCCGAGCGAAATGTCAAGTCAAAACTCAACGGCTGTGATAGTATATGCAAATTCAATAAATGGCATCGGTGGAGCGCTCATCTAATTCCATCCGATGCATTACAGTCGAATCCATTGTATCTTACAGTGACGTGGGCGACGTCGTAGTTTATGGTATTCTTTTGATTAAACCTGCTTGAGAAGCGTTTGAAAGGTGGTGCGACGCAAATCCGCATGTTGCTGTTCTGTGTCTCGATGTGACCCGACAGACTAAACTGTGTTGTTATTTGTATTGTGTTGATAACGGTAAGACGCCTCTCCCTCTCTCTTTCTCTCTCTTTTTTTTGTGGGATGATGATGAGTTATGGCAGCCTGACGTATGTGTGTGTGTGTGTTGTGTACACACCCACATGCAAAGGAACAAAGACTGGATGTTGCAATTCGCCCTCTTTCTCTCGCTGTGTGTGTCCCTCCCTCCAATTTTCCAATCTGTTTATTTCAATAGTGCCGACCAATCTATCTTTCCTTTCAGATGTGTCCTGTCAGCTCTTTGTTTTGTCTTTCACCCTTCCTTCTTCTCTTCTCTCCTCCTCCCTCGCCCTTTAGAGAACACATGGGCTGTAGATTTAACATAGAAATAAAGTGAAATGTCGCCTCCTTCTCTCCTTTATACTTGATACAAGGGCTGCTGCTAACAATGCTTTTCATTTTCCAACCATTGTTTAGTCTTTAAAAGGTGATGCAAGTGAAAAATGCCCATTAGAATTCCCCAGTGTCCAAGATAAACATCTTCAAAATGCTTGTTTTGTCCAACCTACATTCCAAACCCAAATATATCCAATTCACAGTGCAATGAATCCTCAAATCCTCACGTTTGAAAACAACTTTTGCTTTTTTTTTTTGCATGATGAATGATTTTAATCCTCAAAAAAACATCCTAGCAGTACACATTACTACAGTAGCATGTTGCTAACGAGCCAAACAAGCTTCACCAAATGCTGACATTGCTTCAGCGGTCGTCATCAACTGTCTCGTCAACGAGGCTCTGACAAAGCAATCGCTCCGCTCTCCTCCAGATACAACACTCCGGAGGCACTTTGTATGCACAGCAGCTTAGAGATCTCTGATTAAAAGAGAGGGAGAAGTCAACAAGACAAGTGTCTCGGCAAATAGACCAACGCTGTAACACGGTGGTCATCCACATCCACACGGATGCTACAGTGTGTGTGTGTGTGTGTGTGTGTATGTGAGGTGCTTAAAGGGTTGGTTCATCAGATTCAGAGATAGGCGAAATTTCTGCCTCCAGAAACGGTGTCCCTGTTGGATAATGTTCAGTGACCGGCATATCAGTTTCGTATATCCAATTTTTTGCCGGTCACAGTTACACACATGATGGTTTTACAGTGCCTTTACTTGCGTTTTTACAGACTAGACTGTTATTTAACTTATCGAAAAAGAGATCAATCGATAATAATCTTTTGTTGCAGCCCTAGTTCAAATTCAGCCCCTAACCTGCGGCATGTCATTCTCTCTCTCTCACTTGTCTGATCAAATGCAGCGTCTCATCACCGCATATTTCACCATATAGAGCATGAATGTCTTCAGACATCTTTGTACAATACATCGGAATAGACCACACAAGGACCCCCCCCCCCCCCCCCCCCCCCCCCCCAAAAGAAATGCAAGCAAAGCTTATTTCTTTTCCAGTTTACGGCAGAGCTGTTTGCTCAAATACTTAAAGGTCACGTCGTTCAGTGTAGCGCGCAAACTCTCTTCTGTGCAGACCTGACGCTGAACCGCAATTATGCAAACGCGCAGTCAGTGAGCAAATCGATAGCGAATGACCTGGAAGATGCTAAAGGCAAATTGTTGCTGTGTAAATCAGCCATCCATAAAGGCCAGATGTCCCTGCGTTTCCCGAGCACAGGGAGACCCTCGTCTTGTATCAGAATACCACTGAATCATGGTGAGGGAAATCCACTGGAGGTTCCACAAGGGGAGAAAAACCCAACAATTGACAGTAAATCATGGTGATATTGGACTGGATGCAACAGTGATGGGGACTTCCCTGTTTCTCTGCCTGTCACCTAAAATGTGTATGATTTAAATAGAGATCCAGTGTTGCTCTACCCACCACAAAGATGTGCTAGAACAAGTTCATTGGGCAACATCTGTGCTGGCAGCTGTTGCCTTGGGAACAGTCTTTATGCCGGGAACATGCTACACGTTTTACAGCCTCAATTATAGCCGGGCCATGATGACCGACTCTCAAGACTCTGTCACCATGGACTCCTCGTGTTATCTGGTAGATTGAAGATTCAAATCTCTTGCCTCCTGACATAATCTCAGATTATGGATTGGATCGTAAATTGGACGATCCAATCAGCCATGATTATATCAAACGTGTTTGATTTTATGTCAAAGTTAATGGTATCGGCACGGCTGTAAAATAAAATATCGGCATCGGACAGATATTAATATTTCCTCTTGTGTGGCTTATATGTAAGGATGGGAACCGAAACCCGGTATTACAGATCCCAGGGCTGTGGTGTGTTGGTGTGAATGGGTTCGTTAGTCCTCATGGGCAGGTGGCACCTTGCACGGTATAACCCCTGCAATTGCTGCGATAACAAGCACAGCACGCTAGCTCGGCTAGTAGTGAATTCTTGGTACAGATGATGGATGACATGGAGTGTTAAAGCTCTTTGAGCGGTCGGAAGTCTAGAAAGGCGCGATAGAAGTAAAAGTCCATTTAGCATCCATTTAAGTGTTTCGCTTACTTTGCCACAGGTTCTTGTGAGCGTAGCTGAGACAAAACAGCCCCTCCTCCCTCCACCAGCGGGACCTCCAGGCAGTGAATCACATCAGCGGAGGGAGGAGGACAGAGGACGGGATGAAGGACTGATATTGACTGATGTCTTCTTCATTCTCTCTAAACTTCACTCAGTATTATTTTTCTTTTTTCCGTTACATGTAACCTAAGTTGAAGTAGTTTTTCCTTGTGTTGCCCAGCGAATGTGTACATTGGGAAAAGCATTGCGTTTCATGCCTGCATCTTGCCAAAACATAACCAAAACATAAGGAGCTTTGATGTAGTGTTCATCACATCTATTTTATGTCGTTTTTAGGATGATAAATCTTTGCACGCACTAAGTTATTTCTGTCCGTGTCCTTGATATGGCGGGATCTCGAAGAAGTGAGCATAATTAGAACTATATTCCAAAGAGAATTAAAGTGTGAGAGGTGTGTTAAATGTTCATGTGATTTTTGAAGTGAAGTTGTTACTTTCATCAACATATTCTTTCTTTTTGCCTAAACAAATTTGACAGTGGAATCTGGAAATGAGAGTTTGGAATGCCATGAATATGCACAGTTAGAAGTAAAAGAGATATAGTGATCTATACGGATTAAACCTTTGATGTAGCAACATGTTCATGCACAAAACTAAAGAAAACTCTGTTTGGTAAGACTTTAAAAGTAGCTAAATATAGTGAGAGGCTTCAAACATGAATATATTTTCCAGGAAGACATTGAATGACACATTTATTGGAAGTTACTGGTAAGATTTTGTTCATTTTCAATCTCAATTATCAGCATTAAGCCTCCAAACTCTCCCCAGTAGAGCCCTTGATGTGCACATAAAATAAAATTCCCATTAGTTACAAACCACTTGCAGTGAGATTTCTTTTTTCCCGAAATGGTTCAAACACCCAGGGAGTTGGACGAGTGTGTGAGGGCAAATGCTGAAATTGTCGAAACGATCCTCGGGGGGCAGGGGGGGGGCAGAATTGTTCCCCAGCACTCTGAGAGGTCACTAAAAGCTGCTGCCAAACAAGCCCGAGTGAGATTTCTCTCTCCCTTCAGAAGAAGAGAGAAGGGGGGGGGGGTCAGGAGGCCAGGACGACACAAGGGGGAGACGAACCAAGCTAACAAACAAGTCAACTTCACATGCCGCAGGAAACCTCAAAAACGAACGGGAACTCAACAGCCCCTGAAAAGCACTATTATTAAACAAAAACAGTATTTCCCACCGGTCCTCTCTCCCTCTGTCCGCCTTGCCACCCCTCCCACTCTCTCCATTGTTCGCTTTCACCAGACTCGATTATAAAAAAAAAAAAAAAAAAAAAAGTGGATGATTACGGAGAGTGAGAGATGTTCTTAAAAGTAAAAAGACCATTGATTCAGGGAAATCGGAGCTAAAAACCTACAAACTGAAACAGATAAATGGAGTAAATTGAAACCGTGGGAATAATTGTCGGGGTGAATTGTGATGGAATTGGTGGTGTCTGTGGTGACCTGCTTTAGCCTTGATGGTGGTGCGTTGGACGGGGAGATGATTTCATGCACCGCATCCCCGAGGCCTCGTGCTTTTATCAACTTTAAACCGCTTAAGTGATAGCTTGCATACAAGTAGCTGCCTATTGCACACAACCGATGCCAGAGCCCCCTGAGGTGACTACAGCAAGGTAATGGAGTTTTCCTGAAATGCTTATATGGATCCCTACGACTGAACACACACACACACATACACACGCACACTCTCACACACACAATATTGACAGAGGAGACAGGCTGCATAATGCACTGAGCGGTTCACACAAACACAAAAATAAATCATGTTAGGCTTTTCTCTGGTTTGTTGTTGCTGCTGTCGTCTGGCTACTGGCAAGAGCAGATATCGGGGTTTTTAATTGATCGACTGTGGCCACACACACACACACACGCGCACATACGCACAGAGATTCACCTACCTGAGCCAAGAACTTGAGTGTTTCATTAACATCATGGAAGGAGGATGTAAATCCACTCAAAATAGTTGTTCAGCTTACATTTTGGCAAACACTCTGGAATACTTCCATACTCTATGTCACTGCATTGTGGACGTGAGCCTCCTATTGTAGCGTCTGCACGCTGTGCTGATAACTCAAACTACTCTCTTCCATCAGCTTCCTCTGAGGAAGACAATGTACTTTATTCTAAATGATTGTTAAAGAGGCATGCTCATGCTCGTCTATTTTTTTTCTCTCCAAGCCGATTCAATAATAACCATAAGGATGGGAACGAATAGAAACTGTGTGTCCGACTAAAGTTCAGATCAAAACGGCGGGTTGTTGCGCAGCTCTGGCTGGTTAGGACACGGTTTCATGGACGTAATAGTTGGAACCTATGTTGTTTTTTAGGAAGAAATACTCAAAAAGTCATGTTTGGCCAATTTTGACAGCCAACAGACCCAGACTCAGAGTAGCAGAATCGGTTGCTGCAGAAAACGTGTCATACAAACACAGGGCTTTCATCCAGGAGGCCGCTGTTCGTGTTGCGTGCATAACTAAAAGTGAACTTTTACATACTGTCACGTCACTCCTTAGTCACGTGACTCGTTAGTCACGTGAGTTGCTGGTCAGTCAAGTTAACATCAACCATGTTGAGTGTTTTTATCCATTGGGGCCATGTTATTGATTGCTTGTCTGATTTGACCACATTATACAGTTACAGTAAGGTGACTGCTGTTAAATAAGTGCATGGACAGCCCCCTCTAGTGAACACGGAGAAACAGGTTTTGCAGCAGGACTGAGGGGGCAGACCCGGGTCACGGTATTTCATCACGTGCATGTTGACACAGAAGGTAGGCTTTGCAAATGTCATTTTGACCAAAGCAGAGGAACCAACAGTGTTTCTGCACCATTGCTGAAGCACGACAGTGTGTGTGTATATCTGTATGGCTTCATTACAAAAAAAGATGGCACTGGATACCAAACACCTCGCTTCACTCGAAACAGCAGCTCAAAATTAGCTCCTTTTCACAGCTCGGGCTCAGATGTGTGTCTTTCCATTTGTGCCGACGGTGTGAAAAGAACTAGGAATAGCCCCCCCCCCCCCCGCTTCATCCTTTTTCCATCCACGTGTAGCATGGAGCGTTAAATTTGTGCCGTGGCTCTGAATGACTGCTACAGGTGGATAAACAGTGCCAGACTTTTTCGCCATCTACTGCGGGCCGTAATCCGAGGTCAGTTCATTGTTATTTGGGTTCATAGCAAGTTGCTCGGCGAGGGCAAGCAAATGACAATGATCTATCGACAAAAGCAGCCTCCCTTTTTTAATTCTGGCAATGCCCTCTTTCTCTCTCTCTCCCTTCCCCTCTCATAGCCTACTCTACTTCCCTTGCCTTGTTTACTCCAGTTTTACTGAGCCTATTTTTACCCCCTTGCCCAGAGGGCATATTCAAATACAGAGCTGCAACTGGGTGTCTCCCTCACGACCCAACTGTCTTGCACTCTGCTCACACCGTGCACTCTTATGTCGAGAGCAATCCCTTGTTGCGTTGAGATGTTGGAATAATTCATGCACCTTTTTTTTTTTTGTCAGGTTGTAACCTAATTTTAGATATTTTCCAGTTGTTCTAAGGTTAAGTGGATCATATGTCGCAGCTCAATGCCCATAAAAAGACTACACCTTAATCTGAGAACCCTGGTTTTTCCATCAAAATAAACCTGAGTCAATACTGGCTCACAAGATCACATGCTTGGAAACTGTTTCATGTCCTGATGCATTGACCTTCTACTTTACTGTGCTTGAGTACATTGTTAAAGCCCTAATGGCTGCAATTTTTGGGGGGATTATTTCTCAAAATAGGTCAAAACAAGGCTACTTGCTACTGAACAATATTAAATTTCCACTGCAAAGAAGTCAACTAAATGTCTTAAAAAAAGCCCAACGGGTATAATCTTTTTTTCATGTTTCTAAAATGAGTCACAACATTAAAAACTGTGTCCTGTGGAATGTAAGGGTCTGCAGGCTTGAAGAAGAGTGTGTAGGATGGGAGGGAGGGAGATGAGAGGGAGAGAGAGAAAGAGGAGGGGGGGGGGGGGGACACACTAACTTACCGTCGGGGTTGGCACATATGAAGACCCGGACGCTGCGGCCGGTGGGGACGTGGTGCGGCAGGGCGTTGATGTTGCCGCTGATGGCCGCCTTGCGCAGCGCCGACTCCCGCGGGCAGGGCTGCCTGCTCCCCACTCCCGACGGCCACATGGTGGGCGACTTCCAGCGTGGCTACACACACGCACAGAAGGAAGGGTTCACGTTAGCGCGGCCAGGGGCGCACATGGCCAGACGTGCATGCTTTACGCGCATGATCCATCCACACGCACACACATGGGGCGTTAATTACGGCAGAGGCGTGGGCCTGCATAATGGCTTTTTAATTTGCCGCCAACTTTGGACACATTTACTGGCATTAACTTAATTCCCGGGGACACAAATACGCATGTGGGACTTACAAAACGCATTTCGTTATTTGATCATTTTGTGTAGTGCACTTTGAAAGATGTATCAGTTTTATCTTTTTTATCATGAAACGCACACGCATTTTTGGGATACTTTACTCCGGGCTCAAGCGTTACAATACCTTGCCATATACTCATAACGCCCATGCCACACACACACACAAATAAGTTTGGATGGATCGGACAAATCTTCTATTAGGATATTACGCACAGCCTACTACCGTCATGGTGCATGCGTAATTTGTATACATGTCCTTGGACGCATTCATGAATTTTCATGCCACTGTGGGACAAACAGACAAACGGTAGGAGACGATACACAACTCGGAATAGACGAGCAAGGCAAGCATCAGTCGTATTCCCACCCCGGAGAAGATGCTTGTAGAGGCGAATAACCGCAAAGACTGATGGGTTATTCCGCCAGGAGCAGATGTCAAGTCGCTGGTTTTCCGGAGTTGGTCTATCCTGAAACCTTTTGTTTCAAAGACGGAAAACCTCAAAAAAGACAACAAAAAGCGGTGGGGAAGTTGGGTAGTCCACTACAGAACACTACATGAAATCATCTGAACGCAGAAAAATCACAGAGGCACCGCATCCACAGAGAGAGAGAGAGAGAGAGAGAGAGGGGACTTCACTACTGGTGATGCTGGAGACAGGACACACTTCTTGTTGCTCACATTCATTCGCTTCATTTCGTGGCTTCCGAAAATATCCAGGCGTCGAGGACGGTAAAAGGAAGATAAAAACGCCCATTAGAGTGTCTGTGGCCGAGAGGCGACGCCGGGAGACGGTGAAACGGACGCCGTGGGTCGGAGGGCTCCCCTTGGCATCCTGCTGTCTCTGCGAGCCGACCGAGCTCTGAGAGACGGAGAGTGTGTGAAGCTCGGTAAAATAAAAGCGCGACCGCCGGATGGCATTTTCAGAATAAAATAGCAGTTTCAGAATAAAGATTGCTACGCCCTCACACGAAATGCTCCAGCAGCATTATCGTGAAAACAACGAATGCCTTTTATTATTTCCTTAGTTTGAACATAAAAAACGAGCTTTCATTTAAATTGTTTTTACTGCTCCGTATACTCACCTAGTTTATCCAAGGAATTTGCCCTTTTACGCTGAAGGCCAACCTTGTCATTCCGGTCGAGCTCTATCTTCTTCAGTTGGGCTTGACGGAGAGGAGCTCTGGATGCTCCTCGCACCTGTCTCCCTGTCTCTCTCCTCTCTGTGGTGGACAGACTGGTGCTCACCCGGTGCCTTATTCAAATTGCACCGGACCGCGGAGTCAGCAGTGGGGTGTCGTAAATGACGTGGCCACCGTTACTAACAAAGGAAAGTAACGCGACGTTACCGTTACAAAGACGTCGTGAACGCTACGTTGTTGTTTTTTTCCCACACAGTACATAAACCACGAATAAAAGTTGAGCTAAGTTCTCCAAATGAAAGTTAAATTATCATTTTCCCTCTCTCTTTGTTGACATTGTTATTGTTCCTGTTTGGCAATTTCCCCCGTGGCAATGCATTGCTCCGTAGCTCATTCCTGAGGTGCTCCATGCGAGTTCATGAGAAGAGGAATTTGCTCTATTTACGTAACGTTTAATGCGTTATTTCTTTTGCGTAAAGGTTACCCAAGTGCTCCTTTTTTTCCGCGGATGGGGGAGAAGCAGCAGTCCGGGGGAGGATGAGGAGGTGGGGGGAGGAGTTTGAATAAATTGCTTTATCGATAAATGTACCTCTGCTCTGCAGCCTCTGGTTATTCGCGCTGGAAGTTTAAGTGCATTGGATTTGTACTAAACGGAATTGATTAATGTGCTGTTCTCGTGAGGGGGAAACGCTGAACCACTAATGCATTTAAGTTATGACCGTAGCCTATAACAATACGAGAAAAGCCTATGGATGCACAAAGTCCTTGGTTTACATTGTCACATAAGACTTTGAGCACATTACTGATGAAAATAACATTTTGTCACAGATGTTTTTTTTAACATTTTTTTGTTTTACAGCCACATCTTCCATCGTTCCACTTATCCACATCTTAAAAAAATATTACATCTTCTTCTATAGAATACAAAAGTTAAAAAAAACATATATTTTAAATAAACTGGAATATTTAGCGACGGTAAATAGGGGCCGTGTTTGCAAGCAACACTTTATCTCATTATTCCAAATCAATAAACACAATTTCAGGGCCCCTGACAATTGCAAGAAGCTTCCAATCATGCTGCCGTTTCACATTACATGCAGCATATTTAGGTAGTGCCCCTAATGCTCAATAACATTCAAATGTATCATCTCTGAATTATTCCAGGCATATTTTTAAAGCCCAGAGGAAACATTGCCATGGCTATAAATGCCAAATTTAACAAAGTATTTACGTAAGACAAAAAAATAATAATTAGGAGCTCGACGACTTACTGTTGTGCTGCGGGTCTCGAGGATGATTCTAGGGCTCTGCAGGCTCACACCGACCCATTTAAGGCAGCCGGCAGGGCCACCGCTCACACCAGGACAAAAATTCAAGACTCCGGAAAAGCTCAAGTAGAGCGCCGGGAACCAGAGCCTCGTACCCAACAGTGTTGTGACCTTTCTTCACTTGATTCTTCCGCTCCCTCTCATAATCCCCAGTCAATTAATCACGAGTGCACCTGCATTAGATTATTGGAACCACAGTCTTACCAAAGGATGCATTTTACACAGCTTGTTGTATGCGAGCGGGGCTGTGAAAACCTCTCAGGAGGCCTTAAAACAGTGAAAATGTATTAACTCTGGCATGTTCCAGGGACCCTGTGCAGCCCCTTAAATCATTTAGCATCTCTCCCCAGTTTGGTGCACCCATGTGTGAGTAAACACCTTTGGGTGAGTGGTCGAGCGTGTGTGTGTATATGTGTGTGCGCATTCAAGTATGTTTACAGCAATTGCAAGTTGTTGGCAATATCGGCGTGTTTATGTGCTCATTTTCCTGCCCCCCGGACCACTCCAAGCGAATGTGAGTCACCGTGGTGACAAGATGCGATGTGTCACCTGGGAGAGACACATGGACACAAAGGACGGACACTAGCTTTTCACTTGGCAAACGTCCACATGCACACATTCTATGCACGCAAAGGCACCGACTTCACAAATGGCTCGTGACGGATGTTTTATTTCCTGCCAAACAGCTGGAAAGGAATGGAGGGAGTGGGAGTCAGGGGAGACTTGTTGGGAATGTCAACATTAACTCCTTAATTAAAATGACCACTCTCAACTGGTTATTTTTAGTTGGCCGACTCAGAGATCAAGGGCACGTGGTGATGAGTTTTAAGTCATTGCTAGGAAATGTCGGTGGGAAACTTGGGCAAAGTCCAAATCATATGATTCATGCTTTCATTAAATACAAAATACAGCCGAGGCTGATGAGAAGGTCACTGCTTTGAAGATCTCTGGTCACAAACCAAACTAATGGACAGTTTCAAAGTTTGAGCCGATGGTGGCGCTATAGCAGAAATCAGGGGATCGACAATATGATTAAGTTGCATCCTCTGGGGACCAGGAATATCTGTAAAACAAATACAAAAATCAAGGCCATCCATCCAATAGTTGAGATATTGAAGTCCACAGTGGTGGACCGACTGGCCGACAAACACCAGCAGGGTATATGCATGTTATGCTCACGCCTTATCGGGTATACAGAAGTATATTTGAATTAAGTTTTACACAAATTAACATCTTTAATTAACTGATTGCAAAGTCATTTTCTGTACACTTTTCAGGCTCGGCATTACATAATGAAGAAGAGAGTAAATTTAATCTCCTCAAAATATGATTGTTGATGTTCAAAATGTGGTCGTGGTGACTGTGTAGATCATATGAACATCATCCGTTTTAAAGAAACTCTTATATTATAGATATTACTGTGGTGCTGTGATCTTGCTTCAGCACGTCCTTGAATCCCATCCCGCTCCGGAGACCTCGCTCGAGTGCGACCGCATGCACTCTGACCTCACTTAATTTCTTTCCTCCGGTGTTCATCTCCATATAGCGCTGAATTCATTTGTATTGGCTAAATCATCACTGAATCCCTTCCAACTATCACTTCACATCCCCATCTTATTTGGCAAAAAAAAAAGGGGGGCCCTTTTTAATAACTTCATTCACATGCTCTGGTTTGTCAGTAGTGTTTGAATAATCAGGCAATTTTCTGATTTCCTGACTTCCATTTCAAGCTTTAAGATGGAGCAGATGCTGCTTACCAATTTATTTATGCAAAGTAGATTAACTTTGGCACCTTGCAAATCAGCGGGTTTAGTCATGAGTGAAAAGTCTACACACCGATTAATGGGGCCGCTTTGATTGTGATGTGTCAAAAAAAAAAAAAAAAAAAAGATTCGGTCATTTTGAGCGTTAGGTATTTGCCCATGAACGCCTTTGTCCTCCTCCACATTTCCTTCCAGACAACGTTTACGTTCACACATCCGATAACTCTTCTCTCATAACAAAACCCAGGAGATACCCTGGCTATAACTGAATAAAAACCCGGCAGAGCAGGCTTAGGAGGACTCAGACATAATCCTGCTATTAGCCAAGACAGGATTCCAATCAGAGCTCTACAGCAACAGTTTCCCTCTCTCTCTCTCTCTCTCTCTCTCTCACTCGTTCAACGGCAAAACACGGCATACCTCCCATACGATATCAGCGCAAACACGAACGCTAACGTCAGGATGCTAACATATCATTAGTTGTGCAGGTATTTGGTTATAAACCAAAGTATTGGACACGTTCTTTGCCTCCTTTTAGTGGTCACAATGACATTTGCAAGATTTCACCGCGCTCGATGGAAAAACAACCTATAAGAGCCGAGGAGTTTAAGAACTCCTCCTAAGGGGAAGCTTAAGAATTCTGTTTTAAACTGTCAAACTAGGCAGCGCTAATAAAATATGAATCCAGATTTCTCGTCTCACATGTTTTCAGAAACAAATCTTAGAGTTCTGTTTAGCTGTGAAATAAGAAAGTTTGCTCTGGCCGGTGGGAGGTGTTTGCTCGACTGTTTTCAACATGGCGGGCGGCTCACAAACATTAATCATGACTTCTGATGGTTTTCAACCGCACCACATTTAGTCTCAAAGTATGCTGTTGACGTGCTCTTGACAAAGACACTAAACTGTAGCTGCGCACTCATCTGAAGTCGCTCTGACAAGATTACCAGCCAAATGCTTGAAGCCAAAATATGGAATATTCAAGAATTCCAGCCAGATTGAAACAGACTTTTACACAACATGTACAAATCTCCTCCTACTCCTCTTGCTAACTTCCCTCAGAGTGTGAATCCTGCACCGCAACAAGCATCGGCCAAGACACAGTTATATTTGGTCACTTGGAGGGTAAAAAAAAAAATGCATTTCAACTATCTGTGCATTGCCTTTTGTGGCAAAAACAGAAGCCTAGAGGTGAGGACTGCAGATATATACGTGACCACGTCACCCATCGCTCTTTTCACCACTCACCAATTAGCGGTTTTGTTTGTGCTCCCACTGTGACCTTTAGTGCGTATCTGATTTGAATCTATGTTTCTGTTTTTTGTTTTTTTCAAGTGGGTGAAAGTGATGGTGTAGTGATTGCGAGACAGTCACACAAACACACAGGCAAAGCATGCGTGTGCTTGTTGTGTGAGCGTGCACACGCAAGCATACCAGTATGCATGCATCCACTCGCACACACATATAAAATACACACACATGGGAAGAGTAGACGTGTGTGTGGACGAACGAGAACACCCACAGTGAGTAAAGTATAGGCTGTTTTTAATGTTTTTACTTTTGTGGACTATTCAAATATAAATCAAGACTTCAAATTGAGTTGATGCTTGTTGGCTCAAAATATAATTGAAGTCACCTTCCTGGAGCAAGTTGTGCAGTTCATTCTCAACTCATAAGTGGGATGATTTGATCACTGCCCTACACCAGTACACTCTGTACTACTACAACTCAATGCTGTCGGGTTTCCAATTTAAAAGGATTCAAAATGATTCTAAGCTGCTGTGTAGTTACTACTGCAATTGGTGCTCAAATGTCAAGGAAATCTTCTCTGTTGAAAG